CAAAAAAAGCCCTGATCATTATAAAATAAAATATTCCATAATCGATTTTTCAATTTAAAAAACAGCTTGGGGGGGGGAACATTCCCCTCCCATTTTCCCGCCCCTACCCCCAGGTCTTTCCCATCTCCGCTCTTGGGCCCAGGGGTACAATTAAGCTGGTATGAGCAGGCTCTAAGTGCTGGTAAGAAAGTGGCTGAAATGGTATCTCCCATCTTCTGCTTTGAGCCATTCAAGAGACACTGTCCTGGTAAGCAGTTAAAGTTACTTGTGCTGCAGGATTTTGGCATGTTTAATTATAGACTGTCTTAGCTTATTGTTACGTAATTTTCTGGCATAGCTGGAGACTGGCAAGATTCTACAAAAAAAAAACGCATTACTTTGTTCTTGCCTCTGGCTTTTCTAGCTGGAAGATAAACCAGACATTGTTTTCAACACAGATAATATTATGAGATCTTACCTAAACTTCAGGACCAACAGAAATCAGAAAGTAATGAGTGAAACAATTGTCCTGAAGAATATTTGCGAGGTTTGGCGCATCAATCAAGATGGGGTTGGGATAATTTATTAGGCCACCTGGGATGACTAGAACTTTGAAATAAGCAAGCAAGCTTCATTTACTTACAACCTCATGGTTTCACTAAGCATCCTAGAACACACACACACACACACACACACACACACACACACACACACACGGCTGCTCTTTAGGGTTGCCAGATCTTATCTGGCTGCCGGCAGGGGAGTGCTGGTCCTTCTCCAGGGTTCCTTCTATGGTTTTCCCTTAAAACCTCCAGTCCAGCCATGTTGGCGTGAAGAAGGCACTTTGGGGGAGGGATTCCCCCGCCAGCTGGATCGGGGTCGGCGGATTAGGGGCCGCAAAAGCGGGCAACCCCCCACCCCCATCGGGGGAATGGGAACCCTATTTTGTTGCTCAATGCAAAGTCAAAGTGGCAAAGTCAGCCCCCCCACACGAAACAACAAATAACTGTCACGTTCATAGAACACAGGCTACTTAACCCCAAATCTACCAGTTGTCAACAGGGTGGAGAGAGGGGCAGTGTTATGTATTGGGACTGGGACATTCCAGGACTGTTTTTACCAGAGACTGGCTGAGCTTGGAGCTCTAGAACAATAGCCCACCAGGACTCTGGAGGTGGCCAGTGAGGGAGTTGTGGGTCTGGCAATAGCCTATCGTAAGTAGCTGTTCGGGGAGTGGGTGGTGTTTGCATGCTATTTAAACAGGGCCGTTGCCCTGGGTCTTTGCATGGTTCTGGCTGAATCACTAATAAAGCAGAGCTGATCACTAAGCTTGGGCTCTGACCATAGGCGTAATCTTCGTGGGGGCGTCGGGGCATCAGCCCCCGCCGAAATTTTCAGAAAAGTGCTCAGCCTCCCCCGGGAGCCACCCTTGCTCCTAGCAAAGCACTCCCTGTGGCTCAGCCCCAGCCCCCCCCCCCGGGAAATTGGAAAGTCTACACCCTTGGACCATCCATGGAACCCAGTATTTAGCAGGCAGAGTCCGTGCTGACACCCGTGCCTTGAATAGAACCAGTCTCTCCACAGGCCGGTAGGCATTCCCTTTCTGTTACAGTTACTCCCTTCTCACAATTTCCATTTTAGAGAATTTAGTGTCAGGTGCAGTCACTGGTAAAATGTTCTTGACAACTGACATTATTAACTTTCACTAGTCCTTAATTGCAACTGAAATCTTTGTAGATCGTACGTTTGCCTTAATTTTCCTGGCTACCTGTATGCATGATTGTGGCTCTCCAGTGTGCTTTCAACAGCTTACTGACATTATTTGCTTCCACTGGAATCATCTTTCCACAACCATTCCTTTGAATTTTGGGGTAGTTTTGCTTGAAAGTATATCACAAAGAAAGCAACTTTTACTCCAAGTAATAAAGAGCATAAACTGCATCTAATCTTGCTCTTATTTCTTCTAAAGGAACTGAATTGGATGCTGGATGTTTAATCTCTTACCTTCACAGCTGCCCAGCTAGAGTTAACAAGATGCTGTCGAAAGGGCCCAAACCCTGAGGGGAAAAAATAAATACAAAACCACCATCATTACTGATAATGCTTTTTACAGCACCGGATCCTTGATCGGGAGGGGCCATGTCCCAGTGGTCAGACCGGGGTCGCCCAACTATTTGAGCCTGTGTGCATTTAGAATTTAGAGCCAGTTTGGTGTAGTGGTTAAGTGTGCGGACTCTAATCTGGGAGAACCGGGTTTGATTCCCCACTCCTCCACTTGCACCTGCTGATGTGACCTTGGGTCAGTCACAAGCTCTGGCACAGCTGTCCTTGAAAAAGAGCAGTTTGTGTCAGAGTTCTCTCAGCCTCACCCACCTCACAGGGTGTCTGTTGTGGGGAGGGGAAGGGAAAGGAGTTTGTAAGCCGCTCTGAGACTCCCGAGTGAAGGGCGGGGTATAAATCCAATCTCTTCTTCTTCTTCTTCTTCTTCATTAGGGTTGCCGGCATGACTCACCGGTGGGGGAGCGTCGCTTCTGTCCGGGAGCTGCTGAGGGACACGCGCACGCACGCGCCGCCAGAACATCACAGGAAGTGACACAGGACGTAGAGCACATTGGGGGCGTGGCCCAGATCATCGGGGGGGAACCATATGGTTTCCCCCCCCCGACGATCTGACCCAACATGCCCCCAACACCTCTGGTGACGCAGCTTCAGGGGGCGGAGTTCCCCCCGGGGCCCGATTCCGCCATGGCGGAAATCGGGCCTCCAAAGCGGGGGTTTCCCCGCCCCCACTTGGCAGCCCTATATAGCATGGTAGGCGCAACCACAAAATGGTTACTTAAAGAGGTGAAGCCAGCTACAGAATGATTGTCACAGCATAACTTCAGATCCTCATGCTGTGGTGGCAGCTGCTGCCAAAGGAACACTTTTAAAAATCTGCAGTCAATCAAATCTCCATTAGTCACCTATGAGGAAAGGTTAAAGCGCTTAGGGCTCTTTAGCTTGGAGAAAAGACGACTGAGGGGTGACATAATTGAGGTTTACAAGATTATGCATGGGAAAGAACAGGTAGAGAAAGAGGTACTTTTCTCCCTTTCTCACAATACAAGAACTCGTAGGCACTCCATGAAATTGCTGAGCGGTCGGGTTAGAACGGATAAAAGGAAGTCCTTCTTCACCCAAAGAGTGATTAACACATGGAATTCACTGCCACAGGAAGTGGTGGCGGCTACAAGCATGGACGGCTTCAAAAGGGAATTAGATAAGCATATGGAGCAGAGGTCCATCAGTGGCTATTAGCCACAAGGTATAGATAGGGACTCTGGGGCAAGTGATGCTCTGTCGTCTTGGTGCTTGGGGGGGGGTCAACAGTGGGAGGGCTTCTAGTGTCCTGGCCCCACTGCTGGACCTCCTGAGGGCACTGGTATTTCTGGCCACTGTGTGACACAGAGTGTTGGACTGGATGGGCCTTTGGCCTGATCCAACATTGGCATCTCTTATGTTCTTATGGTGGCACAGCCCAGATCATGACAGAAGCCGTGCTAGGCAAAAGCCCTACCTGGACCCGTCCACTTCCTAAAAAATTTGGTGGGCACTAGAAAAAGTGTTGGCGGATGTCGTGGTGCCCACAGGCACCGTGTTGGGGATCCCTGGGTTAGAGCATCTGCTCTAAACACCGAATGCTCCAGGTTCAAACCCCAGCATCTTCTGTTAAAAGCAAGGCGCTTTTCTTTGTCTGAGGGAATGTGCCGGAACGGAGTTCCAGAACCTCTTCGACGAAATTATTTTTAAAATGTTTAAAAGTTCATGAGTTTTCAGTATACACCTTGAAAACTTCATTTCCCTCTTGAGAGTTCCAGAACCTCTCTCCCCCCACAAAAAAAGCCCTGATTAAAAGGATAAAGCAATGCAAAAGTTCTCTGTCAGAGACCCTGGAGAGCCGCTTAACTGTCTGAGTAGCCGATACTGACCTGGATGGATCAGTGGTTTGATTCAGTAGAAGCCAGCTTCATTCAGTAGAAGCCCACCCAGCGGTTCGAAAGCAAAATAACATCGAAAAAGCGAGTAGATAAATGGGTACCTGCCCTAGGTGGCAGGGGGCACCCTCCCCATTGTGGGGTCTGATGGAGCATCGGCGGCGAGCAGCAACAGCGGAATGACGAGCGGCGATGGCGACGAATGCAGTGGTGATTAGTGGTGGCAAGGAGGCGCAACACCAGCGGTGGATCGGACGTCGGCGGAAGGCGGAGCCAAAAGACTTTAGTTAGGTTATAAGTTATGATGTAATTTTAATATTTTGTATTGTCTTACTGTTTTATTGGGTTATTAATTATATGTTGTTAGCCGCCCTGAGCCTCCGGGGTAGGGCGGGGTATAAATATAAATAATAAATAAATAAATAAGACGCAAAGGACGTAGAGGCGCAGGCGTGGCAGAGCCAAATGGACAGAGCTGAAGCCGTGCTGACACGAACCGCGCGCCAGATGGGCCCGCCGAATACAGCCGATGCCGAAGACCACCGGAAGGAGAAGAAGAGGAGCCAAAACCGAAAGCCGAACCGACAATAAGCCGAACCGGGAAAAGAAGAACAGCAAGTCCCTCCACTGGGTGCCGGTAGGGCAGTCCCCACCCCTGACTATGTGTGGCCATAGATAGGGATAAAGAGTAACTGTAAGCCGCTCAGAGACCCCTTGGGGGGTTCGAGCGGGATACAAGCCGAAAGCATAAATAAATAAATAAATGTGTTTATGTGATTTACTTGTCATGTTAGGAGAAACTTCCTTACTGTAAGAGTAGTTGAGCGGTGGGACAGACTGCCTCGGGAGGTGGTCAGAAGATGCTCCTTCGCTGGACGTTTTCAGGAGAGACTGCTTGAAACGACCATCTTTTGGGTATGTTGTAGGGCTATCTTTCGGCTATGCTCCTGCAGAGTGCAGGGGGTTGGACTAGATGACCTTCAAGGTCTCTTCCAACTCTAACATTCTATGATTCTATGTTCTAATTTTGTTCAAGGGCTGATCTTATGTCTAGGGAGACTGAATTGTTTTCGACTCCAAGACTGTCTCTGCACAGAGGGTTTGCTCCAGTTTCATGTCTAAGCTGCTACAGGGTCTTCTGGAGCATCCACACAACATTATTTCCTAACTGTGCACTTTCTTTGTCCTCCCCCTCCCATTTCGCTACATTAATTACCGAACCTGGTTTGGTACAACCTTTTGGGAAACATCGCAGTCTGTCAGACCCCCCTGTCTACTTATACTCGACAGCTCCCTTTTTGGCAGTGAAAGTTTACTGAGTTATATGCAAGATCCAGAAAGTCACCGTGTTAGACCTGAAGACTTTTGGCGGGTACAGACTTATTTTAGAAAATTCAAGCAGGTCCCATCCATCCCCCCAAAGATACGTCACACACACATACTCTGCCTAGCATTGCCATGCCAACCAGGAGAGATATATGGGTAATCTAGAGTTCGAGATGGCACCGGAATGTGTTCAAGGCCACCTTCTCCTGGGAAAGCGAAAGAGGAGGAGAAGGGGGATTTGTGGGAAAAGTTTCATCTTCTACAAGGAAAGGTCTCAAGCACTCTTTCACACACTCACCCCCCCACCCTCAGTGTCATGATCTGGGCTGTGCCACCAGAGGCCTACTAGGCCCAGGGAGTAGGCTTACCAAGTTCCCCCGGGGGGCGGGGAAACTGGCAGAGACTGACCAAGAGAGAGATCTTGGAGTCGTAGTAGATAACTCACTGAAAATGTTGAGATAGTGTGTGACTGCAATAAAAACGGCCAATGCTACGCTGAGGATTATTAGGAAGGGAATTGAAAACAAATCAACCAGTATCATAATGCCCCTGTATAAATCAATGGTGCGACCTCATTTGGAATACTGTGTACAGTTCTGGTCACCACACCTCAAAAAGGATATTATAGAATTGGGAAAAGTGCAGAAAAGGGCAACTAGAATGATAAAAGGGCTGGAACACTATCCCTATGAAGAAAGGTTAAAGCGCTTGGGGCTCTTCAGCTTGGAGAAATGACGGCTGAGGGGTGACATGATTGAGGTTTATAAGATTATGCATGGCATAGAGCAGGT